CCCCCCCCCCCCCCCCCCCCCCCCCCCGCAAAATCGCCCGATCAAAGTCACCGCTGCCCCAGAAGCCAACGCTTTGCAGTCACCCTCCCTCCTCTTCACAATGTTGAACCTCCCGCGTTGCGCCACCACCACTGCCCTACCGCCGCGTGTCGCGCACGCGCGCCAGAACCCCACAGCTGACCCTAGTCCTGGCCGGCGGCGGGTACGTGACCTTCCTGGTCCTGTTCCTGCCTCTGTACGCGGTCTCCTTCCTCGTGACGGCGACGGGCGCGTGGCTTGTCCTCCTCGGGACCGTGTACATGGGCGGGAGGGGGCTGACGAGGACCATCAGCTACCCGGGAGCCTCGAAGCAGATTCAGAGGGACATCGAGCTCGAGTACACCAAGCACGTCAGCAGCCGCCTGGTAAAAGCGAGAGATGTGTCGATGGGGTACATGGATAGAAATCAGCACGAGCTTTTTTTACCGTTTCGAACGTGGTTTCCGAGTCCAACAAGTTACCAACCACCGCTGTCCGTGAAACCTCCCACTCATCAAAAAGAGTTGTGTGAGTTTATTCTTTGTGCGTCGCTTGCGGTAGGCCTACAATACACGCCTTTCCATCCACGCGTCAAACATTTGTAGCGGAACCGGATCCCTCGCGTGGCTCCGACAGACTGCAGCACGAGAGAGCGTTGCTGCTTCTCCTTCCACAAGAAAGATGCTCGACGCAAGTCAATGGCAAGAGCCAGGCAACCCCCCCACCCACCCACCCTGCCCTTCCGTTTAGGTCTCGTTCGCGAACGCGCTGCGACTCTGGCTCCAACTGGTTCGCGATGTGACGGTGGTGCCCTCGGCCATGAGCCACTTCCGCGTGCTGCATCAGGAGCTCCGCGACAGATCGCGGGGGGGTGACGTGTGGGTGCTGACAAGGGCGCTGGAGGAGGTGAGCGACGGAGAGGTGCCGACGGGTGTTGAGCGAGGGAGGGAGGGAGGTATGGCGTATGGTTGGACAGCGCGCTGCTCTCTCGTTTTTCTGCGATGTCGCCCCGGGCGAGACTTGCTGCTCGTGGCTTTTGGGTGTCCGGAGTAGAGGTTGAGGCTCCCATCGGCCCTTGCTCGTTCGTTTTTTGTGTGAAGCACCCTCTGCATCTCGCGCAATTGGAAAGTATTGTGCTACTTGCACAGGGTTGTTGCATCTTTTCTCACCCAAGGTGCTGCCCATGGCGCGCTCAGAAACAGTAGCGCCTGGAAACGAAGCATGAAGACTCTGCCGACGCATCGTCGTGTTGAAACAGCACAACAATCGCCAATCGCCCTCCCTATCACGCGTGTGCCCTCACTCCGCGCAAGGGGGATGATCGCACCACGTTGTGTTAAAATGGTCAAGCACCCTCGAGGCAGTTACACAGTGCTTACAACTGTCTCTGGAAGTGAAAGCACCAGAAAGTAAATTAAGTCATACGCAGCTGTCATCCGTACGCAAGGAAGTAAGCACAAGATGCCGAACACCCTTAGCAGGATGCAGCGCACCCTTCATGCGACTCGCCGAATATCTCACGGCGCTTCGCGCTTGGTGATGTGAGAGCCTGGTCCGGTGAGAACCCGGCGTGCTCCGTCCCGGCTTTGTAGGGATGCGAGGTCAATGGTCTAACGACTACGGCATGCACGACTATGAGTACTATCACGCGTGTGCCATCTTCCACCGGCCACCCGACCCCACGGTGCCTCCGTTTCCTTTCCGGCGTTTCAGCTTACGGCGCACGCAAGCAGGCCGATAGAGGAGGCGGGGGGGCGGATGAGGGGGGCCGGCGGCGCCGGTGAGGGGAGCGCTGCTGCTGCCGCGGCGGCGGCCGCGGGGGCCAACACGCTAGCCCCGTCGGCATTGGCTGAGGCGGAGTCTCTCCTGGAGTGCCTGGCGGAGCTCATGCCGACGCTGGAAGAGGCCTTCGGATTGGCTGATGAGGTGCGTGTTATCTCTGAGGAAGGAGGGGTTATTGGGGTGGGCGGGGGGGGGGGGGGGAAGGGGAGTACTCGCTCCTGTTACTCGTTGTTTATTCGATGGCCGACCATTATGTAAGAGACGCACGGGGGGGGTGCATGGGTAGTCGATTGTTGGTTGTCTTACACGGTGGTCATCTGATAATTTGATCGTTGAGTTATGTCGGGACGGAGCACCGATCCTACTCCTATCAAACCAACGGGAGTTGTTAAGGGGCGTCGAGTGTTTCGCCTCGAGCGGTCGATAGGCGCGCCTTCCGTGCGGGGAAAGGCCTTTGCTCTTGGGCGATGACGCGCGTGTGCAAATTTAATGGAAGGTGTGTTTTTGATACGTCAGGGTTGGGGAAGATGACGAGCGGCGGCAGGGGCGGAAGAGAGCATGTAGGTGGAGTATGTTGAGGGTGTGACAGGGCGCTGTGTCCAATGTTTCACGTAGAAAAAGACCATGTATCGGGTGGAACGGAAGAGAAGTACCAGGTGTTGGCTCTGGGGGGAAGGGGGACGGAGGCAAGGGATTTGGACAATTGGCCGCGCCAAGTCGCGGACACGATGTAAAGACGCGTATTATAGCAAGATCTCTAATACCTGGTACCCCCTCCTCCCTGCCCCTCCTCCTCCCCAACGTTGACGTGCCAACAGCTCTCGCAATGCAGCAGCACGCAAGACTTCGACCGATCGAGGCAAACCTTGCTTGTTCCCGGCGTCCGGAACAACGACCGGTGAGCGATGATGAGCTAGCTCTGTCTCGCACAGCAGTCACCCCCTCTCGTTGTTTTGTCTTGTTTGTTCCCCCTCCCCCCACTCCCCTCCCTGTGTCTGTGGGGACCGCCTTCGCGAGAAAGTAAGCTGATGAGGAAACATAACAGGGGGGTACGCAGATATTTTTCCCTAACCCTAAGCCAACTTTCCCAATTGCATGCTTTATCCAACACGTTTCCTTCATAGAAAAACCCTGCGAAGGCTGTTGGTCTGTTGGTCCCGTTGTTCTATCATCTACCTGCGCCCCTCCCCTACACTGGCGCCCCCCCCCC